GCTCACAGGCTTCGCTCCATTTAGTCACTGTAGCTCCTTAACATGTCAACTACACTATCACGTAAACTGTGTTTAATGATAAACAACTAAATATTTTATGTGAGGCATGTCATCAATAATACACTAGGAAGACAGACAAACGGATGAGCTACAGTGATGAACACGCAAGAAAAACAAAAACACACCTGTGCCATCAATCACACTGCACTGACAGATCTACTTTGCCATCTTGTGGTGAAGCACACTTTGATTATATTCCAGGGTTCCTACTCTTCTTAAGAAATCATCTTCCAGACTTTTTCAGGACATTTTCCAGGAGTTTTCTTGACAATACAGGAAAGCATTCGCTCACAAACGGTCATATAATTTACCGGCAGGCCTAGTATATACAGGTTTTCCAGTTTTATTCCTTCTTTTTTCACAATGAGTGGTCGAGGTTCATTACAGGTGCTCAGCATTTATGGGACACGTTAGCTTGCTTTCCACTGCTCTCACCACAGCCAATTTTTCTGCAGCCTCTCCAGTGATTTGACTACAGTTTCCCCTCTAACCCAGGTTTTACATAGGGGATCTGAGCGAGGGGCTAAAATACAATAAAACATTTCTAGGACAATATGGATAATTTCTAGGATATTTGGTCATTTTAATCAATGTCCAGGTGTTTCCATTACTAGAAAAACTACTATAGTCTCTAAATTTCCAGGCTTTCCAGGATACATGGGAATTCTGTATTCGTGCTCTTTTTCTTTAATAATATTATTTGACATGCATACAGTACCTGAATCACTTAAACCACACAAAAGACCAATTTTACCTCAGGAAGGCTTTATTACTGTAATTCAGTGTAATACAACTGAATGCCATGTGTTATTTTAAAAGGAGAAACTACTTACAGAACTTAAGATTACTGATATTGGCAATGTACTTTGTATTCCGTGCTCATTCGCAGCACGTTTGTCAGCGTATTCTTATTCTTCTTGTGCACAACTTAATAACACGTCAGGTATTTCCAGTAACTTTGATGTTGTTTGATAGCAGAAAATGTTTCTGTGATCCACAGCACAGAAAAAAATTTTATGTTTTAGGTGTCACTCCCTTTAGAATTAGACCTCTTTGGATCAACACTGAACAATTAGAGAAACAGGAGAACAGCATGTAAATCAGACACAAGAGGACATGTTTCAGTGTCGGTAGGAGGCCACTTATTATCAGAGACGTGTAGAAAATGGAGTGGAACACACCCTGAACAATGCTTGTGCTTGTGCAGCAACAGCACAGTCAATGAAAGACACATACTATTATATCCTCAGACTCACTTGAGCGTAACTTAATTGATCTTATTTCACCGCTTCTGGGCAGAGACGACACAGCCTTCAGCATGTTGCATACTCGCCTAACAATGTGGGAACATTGGGAATAGGGTTTGCACTTAATGTGTATATGTTTATATTGTGATATTTAAGCTCATAAACTAAACAGAAACCACTGGTCACATTATATCGGCATTACATTGAACGTAAATGGCAGGTCAGGAGTGAGTGTAACGTAAGGTGGGAGTCGGATTTTACTTTTAATCCGAAAACACTGTATATGAAAATTAGTGAGTGGTGTTTTTATGATGGTTAATATAAACACCAAATACAGCAGTAGTACTGAATATGAAACCGATATGAGCATCCCATTCTAAAATATAATTATGTTTACAGAGCTCTGTAAATAAGAAAAGCACTATTCGGCTCAACACTCACTCAGCGATGTACTCCAGCGGTGTCCAGGAACTGAAATCTGCGTCAGGCATGAACTTCCTGTTCATTGGCGTATCCAAGGTAACCCTGTTAAATTAAGCCAGATGACAATCAGGGTGAGTAGCAGCGCCTGAGTGGCGGAGAGAGAAAGGAGAGAGCTTACAGCCTGCACACATACACACCACAGAGAGAGCGCTGGGTATACACATCATTTGCATCATGTTTCTGTTTTATTAACATATTATGACTTCAAATATCACTTAGCAATTCAACACAGCACGGTTTGTTCTGTCACCTTCAGTACAGCCATGCTAATATTAACATGCGATATCCCTGTGTAAAACAACAAAACATTCTGACCTGAGGTGTGCTCTAGTGTTTTTGGGGGGGGGGGGGTCATCAGGGCGTATAAGCTATATACATACATTTAAGTACAAGAACAAAGTTTTTATATAGTAGTACTTAACTGTAGAGAGACTGAAGAAGGTTAATAATACAATTGCTTATTTTCTTACTGCATAAGCTAAAAAACACTTTCCATTTCAATTCTAAAATCCAAAACGTTTGTTTAACTGTTTCATGGTCTTGGATTGCGTAAACAATCTGTATTATGAATTCATTTCCACAAATACTAGTACAGATGTTGTTCGTATAGGATGGTACAGCAGGACAGGAGGGTTGGGGGATGCAGGCTGTAACAGAAATGCAAGTCATGGGGCTAATGCTGAACAGATGTGACAGCATGCTGGAGAGGCGCAGGCTCAGTCCAGCCTCATGTTGGCGGAAAATACAACCAAAGAGAGAGCCGCAGCAAGATACACCCCTGAAAAGCCATTTCTAGCTTCTCACGATGACAACGCAAAAAACACTGGGTTTAAAATTCAATAAGCGAACAGAAGAGGCGATCATGCAAAGGCTACTGTGTGCGTCATTCATCTAAAACAGATCATGTGCACAACCAGAGATCTACAGGGTGAGATTGGCAGCCTTAGCCATCTTTTTCTCTTTATTCCTGCAGCTTATCTTCAACTTGCACTTATCCATCGCACGTAACAAAGGAGTATGAGGCACAGCTAATTTTACAGCACAATAGCTTTCGCCTTCACTCCTTTGACAGGCTGCTTGCATTGTTGGTGTATTTAAAGCTGCACTGTGCAAAATATTTATGTTACATATACACCGCTCCATTCAACCAACCAAGCACAAACAGCAAAGACAATCCCATCCAGAGACCTGCTGTATATTTGTCCTTTTTTGTTAATAAAATTCTGTTGCTGGATATGGACTGAAGCAAGAATCTGTTTTTTTGTCGACAATAACTGATAAGATTTAGGAGAAAAAAACCCCAATAACATCCAACGAGCAGCAAGTAAACATGAATCTGCTGTGTACAACATGTTACAATATCTCAGGATATTGAAGTTCAAGGAAGTCTAACAGTTTCCCTTTGTTGCTTTTGCCGACAGCAGACAAGTTTGTCTGGTAAAGAATAACACGCTCGCTTCTGTTCAGTTATTCTTCATGTTAGTGCCAGCCCAAGGCCCAAAACTTATAACTGCTAGGGCAATACATAAAGACTGCAACTAACAATGTTCATTATATATTAATCTTGTTTTATCCTTTCGACAACCAAAAAAATTTTAGTTTTTTAGTTAGATTTTCATTTTAACTGTGATAAAAATACACACAATCAAACACAAAAAATATATACTATAATCAAATAACAAAATTAATGAAACAAGAAACTGATTATCAAAATAATTGTCGATTCATTTCCTGTCAATCAATGAATCCATTAATAGACTAATCCTTACAGCTCAAATACTTATTCTCTCTCAGTTTCCTTCCAGTATCCACAGAAGCAGGTAATATGCAGAGCTAAAACACTTTGAGACACAGACAAAATGAGGTTGGTTCAACAATACGATCTTACCAACAGGAGGCAAAATGAGCAAGACTTAATTTTAGGGGTGTAAAAAATTATCCATACTGTATCGATTCTTAAAAACACTGTATTGATTTTTGTGTATAAACCCCCAAACACTAGATAGAAGTGTTGTAAACTTTTCTTTACTCTTTACTCAGATTTTATGCATATGGTGGCTCGTTCTCTATGCATTACCCTTGCCTTAACAGTATCGCAATATATCAAATCGTACCCCATGTGTCGTGATATCATATCAGTAGATTCTCGCCAATGCACAGCCCTGCTTGTTTTCGCTGTAAAGAATTCTTAATCATTCTCTGGACCTTTTAAAAGAAAACTCTCTTCTTTTGAGTATATAATACTCATGAGGACTAACAGCAATGTGAAAAGTGAATTATGCTGCAGGAGCGGGAAGTGAGAAGTTTCCAAGAGAAGTTTTTGATACAAAACTGTCTTCTGCATCATCTATTGTAGCTGTTGTGTAAGCTGTCAGCAGCTGCAATCCTCTATCAAAGAGCAAGCCACTAACTGTGTAGATCCAGCTCTCAGGCATGCAGGCAGAGGGTCAATAGAGACTTTTGGTGGACTATTGATTTAAAAAGCCCCTATCTGAATCTTGTTACATCCCCATCTAAATCATCACCTCAGGACTAAATGTGCATCATGACCAAGTGTGTACACACACACATCTCACAGCAGTACTCACGGCAGTATAGCCACAGCAGCAGCTCCTGATGGCATCCCACTGTTTTTCGCTGCAAGACTCTGACACAGCTGGTGGACGGCAGCCTTGGCCATGCCATAGCCTACCATACCTGTGGATTACAGAATATTTATTGTAGTGTAGTGTGCAGTTTGCAAAGGCAACATAGACCACATCAAATGCATCACACACTGTTCCCAGCAGTGGATGCGAGTAATTGATTTATTAGAGAGAGGTCAAGTGGAAAACATTGGAGAATCTATGGAAGTAACATCTTGAGACTTTTGATACTAAAGTAGTAACCAGATAAAATGCAACCCATTTCTTGTGGTATATGTTTGTGTTGTATAAAGGCTTAGATTGGCAGACACATTCAACTGAATGACTGCTTGTTTTCCCTCTAGTTAAACACATTTTTACATAAAACACAGCCATGGATAACTCCTAGGAATGTTTTATAGCTTCAGCATCTGGAAACATTATGTGCCCCCCCACACCCACTAAACCAATCTTATGACAGGCTTACAAAGATCCGACCAATGGGAAAAAGGGGTGGTGACACGGCTTTTATCACAAGCTTTTGTTTTTCTCCAAGAGCAAAAATCAAAAGGAAGCATGACTTAGGGGTGCCATTCCGAGGACGGTGAAACGCTCCTTTAATTAACCACCAGGTTAGCCTCCATCCCGTACCTAACAGGTCACACGTTCGATCCCTGCTAAACACAATGTGCATCCATCAACAATTTTATTTCCTAATGATCTACTTTGTCCTTGAAACCCAATCTGCTCTCACTGTAAGCCGTTTAGGAGTAACAGCATGTAAATGTGACGAGGGTTCAGATTAATTAAGGTTATTCTCACTTTGAACAGTTCGTAAAAAAAAGATGGGAGTCTTGGCTGTGGTCACTTAGCCGTAAATAGCTGAAATAATGCAGGCTGCAGCCTTTTTTGTACTTTGCAAACATATTCAAGGTCAGGATTGAGTTGCACCAGCTATTGTAAATGCATCACTAGGTTTGTGTGCTAAGTCCTTCTGATCTTCTTCACAACTCGTTTCAAATTGGCAATTTACAAAATTGGGTTGCACCGTTAAAACTAACTTGTAATGACTTAAATAATGTGTAAATTGGCTGTAGCACCATCCAATCAAAAGCAATCAACCATGTAAAAGGAAGTCCCTGTGGCATCACAAGCTGTCGTCAAACTGGCGTCAATAGGCAAATTACACATATCTAGCCATTTATATATGCGTTTGTGGACAAATGTGTGTTTCATACTTAGTAGCAGTCATGTAGTGACTGGAAAATATCTATTAAGCCGGCTAACTAGGCTAAGTTTAAACTAGCAAACAGCTGGTGCAACGAGGTCCAGGGAAGAAGCTGCAATGGGACACTGCATCAGAAGAAGCTACATTATGACAGCCTGAACACAGGACTTGATTCAGAAATGATAGCTTCAAGTTGTTTGAATAGAGTGAATAACACTGCTGTAAATGCAGACACTGAAAGCCATCTTTTGCATATCTTAGAGGATAATCAGACTGGGGATTATGAAAACAAATAATAAGTCACATGGAGGGCACAGAGACCCCTGCACTAACTCCTTCTGGGGTTCGACCTCTGTTTTAAACCCTAAATCAAAAGGATTATTAAAATGCCCTTCACATGGTTTGACAAGTGTGTCATGTTAAGTTTGCGTTGGAATTTCAGGAAAAAGGGAAAACAAATGGTGATTGTTATAAGAGAGAGAAACATGCTTTTGTTTACGAGCCAGCACATTTAGTAAATCCCCAAATTATCTTGCATTTTTTACTACTTTACATGGCGACATGCTGCTTTGAAGGGAAAACTCCAGGTATCTCCCACATCTGCTCATAAGCTTTCCAACATGTAACTGGGTATTCATCTGTGAAACGTTTCATTTACAACAACCTTCAAAGTCAATTAGTTATCATAATCTGCTTTCCTTGTTTCTGATATGGAACACTCATTAACTTTTTACTCCATTTGTTTGATCAAAGCACACAGAAGAAAGGATGAACACGAGTATCTCTCACCAGTTATATTTCTAACATTTGGCTCTTGATATTGAGTCACGTTTAATTAGACCACACAGAAATATTTCGGGGGGAAAATAAGACGGTAACTTTCACAGTTCTCGACTGTGATTTTAAAATACAGTCAGTTCTGCGGAGGTGCAGGTTCCTACATAAATAGAATCTATATATAAAACAATAGATATTGGGATCTTCAAACTGTATCAGTGCAGTTAACACACTCTGTCCACATGGATAATGTGTGTGGAGCCACAACTGCTGAGTCATTCTCTTCCTAAGCCAGCAGCCAATGAGTTTGTGGGCTTTGTGCTGACTGCTGAGCCAGGGCTTTATATTGTAGAGTTGGATCTCAGCCCATCACATGGTTGGCTGGGATACAGGGGCAGGCTGGACATCACATGGCACCACACCAAAGCCTTTCAGGATGGCACAAAGCCCGACGTGGGGCTGGCTGGTGTCACTTAACAATGGTTAACTATTGGTAGAATGAAAATCACCGGCACACCATCTGAATATGTAGATGTGTAGATAAGGGTTCTTGTGCAGGCCTCAGTTCATTTGATTCTAGAGCGGAGGACTAATTCAGAATTATGGACTATATATATATATATATTCGACTGATTTTGACCACCTGTCCTTATGTACTAGGAGTAAGTATGTAACTATATACAGTGAATACACCAAACCACATCACAGGTGGGGGTCTGACATGTACGTGTGGCTGTTATTCTGTATCTTTACCTAATACATGCTTTCATGCACACAAGTTTACTTTTTAATAAAGCTGTAACTAAAGATAATTTATATTATTGCTTAATCTGCATATTATTTTCTCAATAGTTGTAAGAAACTAAATAGAGAAACAATACCATCTCAGAGCCCCAGATTAAGTCATGAAATTGCTCGTTTTGCCGAAAACTGCAACCCAAACATATTCAGTCAACTATCATATACGAGAAAAGAAAAGCTACAAATTCTCTTGTTGGAGAAGCCGTTTGATATGTTCGCTGGATAAACGACTGAAATTATTAACAGACTGTAAAGATAGCTGCTGAATTACTTTCTGTCAGTCAACTAATCGAAGACTGTCAGCTCTATTGTTTAAATTAAAAAAAACAGAAATAAAAAAAGGTAACTACTGTTAAAAGGGGCAGTTTTACACATGGTGATCAGGTTACATTTCATAAGTACAGTAAGTACGTGTCCTGTGGCTGTGGAAGAGCTTTCTATAGTCTGAGGTAATTATCTCTACTTCTGCTACTTCTAAAGTCCTATTTTATTTATTTGTTGTCTTTAGTTCATTGCCTTCTGCTTTAATGAATCCCAATCAGTTACATTTTAACTACATAGCTGGGCTTGTACAGAGTGGCTTAATCTCAGCAGGTCGGTTGAGTCCACTGCTCAAGGACACTAACAGAGCACAGGATTGCACATTGACAAGCGGGTCGTTGTCGAAACACTGAACCCCACCGCTACCTCAGAGCTCATCAGCTATTCTCTATTTTTTTCCTCTTGGTTTGTTTCTTGGATCCATTTTATTGACACCTTTTCCTCACACGGTTGTGAGCTGTGCGAGATCCCCCATGTCTCTGATCAGTGTGCCAATTCCCTCGTCAAAGCCCCGCAGCGTTTTCTATTACCTCCATCATTTGAATTGGCGGGTTGGACAACAGAGACATCTGCACAATAAAGTCTCCATTATATCAAAGTCTGCCTGCAGCCCTGACATGACACACGGCCAAACCAGGTCATCATGATGACAACGGTAAACACAAATGTGTGCCTTACCTCCAGTGCCCGACAGGGCCGCTTTGGCCCCTGCCAAAGTCAACAGTCCGCCTTGTTTTAGGTGCAGAGAGGCAAGGTGGCTGGAGATAGTGGAGGTCCACACACTCTGTTTCCACATCAGATCTGTGTTTTTGTATAAATCTGAGGCAGACATAGAAAATAATTATTAAGGCCTTATTTCAATTTGCTGGTATTTCATAATTTAACCATATTGGACAGATACAGCACCTTACTTAATACAGGTCTTTATAGAAACACTTTAACGTTTTAGGAAATACGCTTATTTGCTTTCTGGCGTTAAAGGAGAAAGATTGATACCGCTCTCACATCTGATAGCTTTTAGCTTTGATTACCATAAAGACTGGAAACAGGGAAACAGCTAGCCTGGCTCCGTCCAAAGGGAACATAATCCACCTATCAGCACCTCTAAAGCTCACAAATAAACATGTTTTATATGCTTAATCCATAAAAAAAAAAAAAACATCATCATCCGGCACAATAGTCTTCAATAATGTAGCTTTTAAACGGATTAAACAAACTAGATGGATGTTCATCAATCAAGATCAATCAGTGAGCTTTAGAGAAG